AAACATAAGCTACTCCAGCTTCTGTGTGCACGCAGGGGTGTTACGTGTGTGTGTGTGTGTGTGTGTGTGTGTGTGTGTGTGTGTGTGTGTGTGTGCGTGTGCATGTGTGTGTGTGTGTGCGTGTGTGCGCATGTGTGTGCGCACGCTCGCGCGTGTGTGTGTGTGTTGTGTGTGTGTGTGTGTGTGTGTGTGTGTGTGTGTGTGAGAGAGAGAGAGAGAGAGAGAGAGAGAGACTAATTCTACACAATCGCGATGTGTGGTTGTTGCTTTTTTCTCGATTGCTCAGACTCTGATCATGGGTAACAGGGACACAATTGATGAGATGGCCCCCAGCAGTACAAATGTGCTAACGCTGGTACTGAAGCTGATTGACAAGTATGATCTCTACGGCACAGTGTCCTATCCGAAGCACCATACGCAGCGTGACGTCCCAGAGATATATCGACTTGCAGCCAAGACCAAGGTCAGACAGACAGGCTAAGGAAACACTTCGCTTCCAATATTTTCCCTCATCCTTGAATACCCTTCACTTCTACTTAAAACTCCAGGAGCAGAAATGCCGCATGATGTCCCAGTAATCCACTTTTTTCTTGTGGTTTACCTCAAGATCTCTGGCAGAGGAACATGCAGGCTTCTTCTCTCGTGCCCCCAATTCACCTAATATGCCCTCCCCCGGTGCGTTGGCCACACTGCCACCCCACTCCCCCCGCTAACCCCATAAAAAGTCCACAGTGTGCCCCAAAAGCCCGACCCAACAGCCGAGTTAGCCAGCTTTTTCATGCTAGTAACTCCCATGTTAACGGCAACAGAACATGCAACCTCATGTTCATGGAGTAGGAGTACGGATCTGAGTGCTGAGTAACTGCTGCTCTGGTTGTCTTTCTGGTACTATARARSYTYTATAGTACCAGAAAGACAACCAGAGCAGCAGTTACTCAGCACTCAGATCCGTACTCCTACTCCATGAACATGAGGTTGCATGTTCTGTTGCCGTTAACATGGGAGTTACTAGCATGAAAAAGCTGGCTAACTCGGCTGTTGGGTCGGGCTTTTGGGGCACACTGTGGACTTTTTATGGGGTTAGCGGGGGGAGTGGGGTGGCAGTGTGGCCAACGCACCGGGGGAGGGCATATTAGGTGAATTGGGGGCACGAGAGAAGAAGCCTGCATGTTCCTCTGCCAGAGATCTTGAGGTAAACCACAAGAAAAAAGTGGATTACTGGGACATCATGCGGCATTTCTGCTCCTGGAGTTTTAAGTAGAAGTGAAGGGTATTCAAGGATGAGGGAAAATATTGGAAGCGAAGTGTTTCCTTAGCCTGTCTGTCTGACCTTGGTCTTGGCTGCAAGTCGATATATCTCTGGGACGTCACGCTGCGTATGGTGCTTCGGATAGGACACTGTGCCGTAGAGATCATACTTGTCAATCAGCTTCAGTACCAGCGTTAGCACATTTGTACTGCTGGGGGCCATCTCATCAATTGTGTCCCTGTTACCCATGATCAGAGTCTGAGCAATCGAGAAAAAAGCAACAACCACACATCGCGATTGTGTAGAATTAGTCTCTCTCTCTCTCTCTCTCTCTCTCTCTCACACACACACACACACACACACACACACACACACACAACACACACACACACGCGCGAGCGTGCGCACACACATGCGCACACACGCACACACACACACACATGCACACGCACACACACACACACACACACACACACACACACACACACACACACACACACGTAACACCCCTGCGTGCACACAGAAGCTGGAGTAGCTTATGTTTCTTTTCTAGGATATAGAAATAGAGTACTATTCATTCACTCAACGCTTTCCCTCATTACTGCCAGGGCCCAGCGGAATCTCTTACAGCATTGATGCTTCCAGTGGAAAGGATTGACTGTCAGATGCACCTATTCTGGAGCAGTGCTGGGTTCTTCAGTTTTGTCCGACAGTCTGCTTCCTCAAGCTTGAGAGGAACAATTCCGACTTTGACTTTCAGGACTCTTTCTGTTTGCGTAGGATTAAGCTTGGGAGGAACAATTCCGACTTTCGACTTTCAGGACATTTTCTGTTCGCGTAGGATTATGTTTGTGGCTCTAGAGCTAGAGAATGCAAAGCACAACAGGAGTGGAGTCTAGAAAGGAGACATTGCACAGGCATCGACCACCGGAAGAGCTCATCTCTAAGGAATTACTGATTAGGCAAGAAGTGCAAAGACCTATCCAAGTGAAAGGCAAAGAAGCAGTGAAGGGAAAAAAACGTTCCGCACCATTGGATAGCAGGCCTCATCGAGCAAAGGTCAGCGCACATTTACACTGCAAAACCTACCCGTTTAAACTGTCTGACAGAATAACATTGGCTGGTCTCGATTCTTTACAGCACGATCGCATGATCTGCATGGTTGACGAGTTATTAGTAATTACTAATTATAATATTATTAATTTATTACTAGTTCTTAGACATTGATCATTATGGTCAGGAGACGCTGAAATCTCCGAACAGACTAGAAAAGGCACAGATTCATTGGGAATCGTGAGATATAGGACCTCGCTCCACTACTCTCCAAATGAGCAAAATGAGAAAATCTTTTGCTAGAAAGACTTCCCATCACAGAGGACAAGAACTTCGACCCTGCTCAGTGAATTCAAAATTCCTTTTTGTTTTCCTTTTTTTTTTCAAATTCCAAATCATCATAGATCTAGGCTACCAGCCGGGCCGCCCGGGTCCCGGGTGGCCAGCCCATGCAAGGACTAGAGAAGGCCCCTGCAAAACAAAAACAAAAAAAACAACTCCAAAAAATACGAAAAAAAACTCTCCAAAAAAATCCGAAAAAAAACTATGTTGTGCAGAAAAATAAACTGAACAACTTTTGCCTCAGGGTCGCATCGAAATTCTTTACCAAATTGAAAATAAAAAATCAAATACATTTTTTTTAATTTCTTTATTTTTTTTGGCCCGGCCAGGCAAGTAACACCGGGCCACTCTGGTAGCCTAGTCATAGATACAATAATGATAAAGGGCTGAGCCTCCGACGATGAATACAAAGATGACCGAGCTCCCCGTAACCACATTTTTTTCAGCGGGCATGGGCGGAGACGAGGAGGAGGGGCACGCGCCGCAGAACCCTACCAGATTGGCAAGCTCACGGAGGGGACGACACTCTCCAAAAGCGCGCACAAGTGCAGCCAGGTTCTTCTTCGGGTCAGGACGGGCAAGTGCTAGAACCATTGGCTTGTGGGGATTGGTAAAAAACCTGTTAATCTGCAAGCCACAGAAAACTCCAAAATAACAGTCAACCAGGCAAGCCAACCTTTTTTTTTTTTTTTTTTTTTGTTGTTGTTGCAAAAAATTGCCGAAAACATGAAATTCATTATATTCAAATTTCGAAACAACCATGTCATGCCAGCTTTTTCTTTTTCTTTTCTAAAGAAACGAACGTATGACAGGAAGGAAAACAATAAAAGAGAAACACCAGCATCTTACTTTCACCCTCTCTCTCTCTCTTAGCCTCCCTCTCCCGACGGATCGTCAGCATCCAAAACACACATGCAATGCTTGCTTGCACATCCTATTTACTATTTATGCCATTGCCGATGATAATCATGACAAAGAACTGGCAGCAAAACATTGCAGAAGGAATAAGGGCATCGCCACACTACTCTCGAAATCTGTACAAGGAGAATGAACTTCCCGCGAGAATACGGCCAGATGCACCTGCCACACTCATCTTTTTCACATTTCGAGAGTGGTGTGGTGAGGCCCTAAGTTCGAATAACATCATTATAACACCCAACAGACGAGCTCACAGAGGGGACGTTTGTGGAAATGCAGCAGTCCCAACTAACGAGCCTAGCTCAGCTCTTACACCCATCATAGACTGTTGAAATATAGACCCAAGTTCAAGACCTGATGGACCTAGATGAATGCAATGAAAGAATTCCGATTTACCCGGGGCCAGGCACCTCGATGATGATACTCGAGCCTCAGGCCGAAGTCGAAAGAAGAAGGGGGGGATAAAAGATGGATGCAGTCCCAAGTTTTGGCTTGTAACGGAGGGGAGATAAGCACAACACAGGAGATTCACCTTACTGCTAATAATTCCATGCAGGAAATAAATGTTGTCATCAACAAACGTCGTGACCACGTTGCCACGCGTGAGCGAGGGCCTCGCTCCGCTAGACAACATTCAAAATGTATCTGGTTCTCAAGGTCGTCCCGCTACATTTTCAGAAGGTCTGCGCAGGCCGAATGGACCAGATGCGCTCCGAATGTTGTGCAGTGGAGCGTGGCCCCAATAATCCTCCCTCTTGGAACTACTAAAAATGTCACATCCACACCATTTGATTGCCAGCCTTGACGTTTGGACTCTGGAGAATAACAGTCAATCATCTCTCATCATCTTCGTCTTTTTCTTTTTTCTGCTGCTGCTGCTGCTGCTGCGACCGTCTCGCATCTTTATGTACGACAAGAATCTACTTTTCGGTTGGTGCATTATTATTATTATTAATTTATTTAATTTTATTACTAATTTGAAATTTCCTAGTAGTTACCAATTATTGAGGCCGCATTACGCGGTGCTGAATATTTGTGCTATAATGCTATTTAGTATTTACTCCCCATCTCTCACTCCAGAAATCGAGTTCATACCAGGCGCCAATCAGTATCTCAAGGCCGTCATCTTTTCTGAGAAAAAAAAAAACAAAAAAAAAAAACAGGGAAAGTAAGTACTCTAGCAGAGTAATGATGAGTTTGGCTAAGAGAGAAGATTAGACAGGACTGCGACTTGTCCTTTGGGACATCCGCTAAAACTTAAAATTGGAACGATACAGAGAAGATTGGCATCCCGCCTCTGCAAAGATGACATGGTTAAAATTGAAAATTAGCAAATGCTTAAGAACAAGAACAAGACAAAAAAAAAAACGGCCATGGACCGATCGCTAGTAGAATTTTGTACGGTCCAGACTGCAGACCATATGGGAGCCAAGCCGTCGCAGGATGAGTAGCAACTGGGCCACAGGACTTACAGACATTGTGAGCTTTTATACATTGAAAGACTTCAGAAAAGAAAGGTCTGAAAATGAAAGAACTTGAGAAAAGAAAGAAACAAGGTCTAACGTGAACATTGTTAACAGACACCATAGAAAACAAGGTCTAACGTGAACATTGTTAACAGACACCATAGATATATTTTCCCCAAAAATGCGGTCGCAGTAGGTGGTTGCATACCTGCCGACCGCCTACTGCGACCGCCAACCATTTTGCAGCTGACCAGTAGGACCGACTGGTTGGCGGTCTGCCGACCAGTCAGAAAACAGCCATCCACTGATTTTTTTTCAAATCTGAGTTGGGGGCTGTACTGCACTTGCTGAGTACAGCCCAAATCTGCTGAGAAACTTTTGGAGATGCGGGGAGGTAGGGGGGGGTATAGGGCTGTCTCTTATACACATCTAGATGTGTATAAGAGACAGGGGGGTATTGAGGCGGGTCTGGGGGTGTTGGTGGGGTTATTGGGGGTTCTGGACCCAATTAAAAAAAAAAAAAAAAATTGTGGGGTGCCGACAACCCAAATAATTGTGGCGCTTTTTTCTAACGATACATTGTGTGACCATCTCAGTCAAAATTGTCTGACCAAGCCTCAAACATCTCTACAGACCGGACGTAATGATTTGCGTGGTTTGATTACATGGATCTTGAACCTTTGAAATTGGAATCCGTTCACCGAATCAGGTTTGCTATATGAAAAACGCCCCCCACAAAGAATGATGAACGGGTTAAAAACTTGAAGGCAAGGCAAGCTCTAGGCGATAGGCCAATGAAGGATGCAACGACAAGGAACCCAGAAAAACACAAAAAAAAACACAAAGAGGAGTCTGAAGAGTCGGGAACTGAAAACAGAAACAGATGGTATTCCTGGTTGGATAGGACAATGGTTGGATGGGACCATACTTCAGCCCATATGGGAGGATCATTCGGTAGTGGTGGTCCAAAAGTTGTTATCCCTGATGCCACAGGTAGTAGTTCTTCGTCATCGTCTGGATCTGGAGGTGTGATGTTGCTGAAGTCCATTCCGGGTGGGATAACCTGCACCAATCAATCAATTCATCAATCAATCAATCAATCAATCAATCAATCAATTAATCAATCAATCAATCCACCCATCAAATTAATTCGTCAATCAATTAATTCGTCAACAATCAATCAATCAATCAATCAATCAATTCATCAAAATCTATCCATCCACCAATCAGTCACTCAGGCAGTTGCTCACTCAGTCGGTCGACCAGCCAATCAATCAGTCCGTCAATCAGTCGATCTGTCAGTATTGTCAGTCTGACGCCCTTCTACCCACAGCCAACCAATCCATCCACCCACCTGGCCATCTGACGGGCTTATACCCACCGTCAATCAATCGAATCAACCTCAGTGCTACGTCTAGACAATCTATCGATCCTTCAATCGACCAAGTCAATCTCATCCGACAATGCATCCATCCACCAACCAGCTGATACATCCACACATACATCCACCCACAAACTGAAACAATTTCATCCATTGCACATCCCTCTTCACACATCCTCCATCCCACACATCCTTCCATCCCTCCACCCAACCCTCCATTTATCCATCCATCCATCCATCCATCCACCCATTTCATCCTTCCGAACCATCCATCCATCCATCCGCCAAATTTGTCTTACCTTGAATGCCAATTTTCCATCCATCCATCCATCAAATTTGTCTTACCATAAACCACCGCCCCAACTGCCCCCGCGCTCTTCATTTTTCTTGTCTACAAGAAACAGGCCAAAATCTGCAGTGCTCAGGCCCAGTAGAGGTTCAGTGAAGAAGGGCACGGACACCTGGGCACCACAATTATTTTTCCTCACGTTGTGTCACTTCAGATTTTAGGCTCGAGGAGACAACTTTTGCTTTGCCAGAGTACGTGCAGATGGAGTGGTGGTTTAAATGGCAAGCGTCCATCCGTCCATCCATCTGTCCATCCATCCATCCATCCATCCACATCGACATCCACCAACAAACCAGTTCAATATGACCCATCCAATCCATCCAACCATCAACTCCACTTACCCGTCCATGCACCCATGTGATTCTTCATCCATGTGTCCATCCATCCATCCACCCACCCATTTATTGATCCATCTCATTCTACCCTTCACTGCATCCCGCATCATCACATGACATACATCACATTCCATATGATCACATCGTTCCATTTCATTATGTTAAAGTGCCAGATTGCGAATTTGAAAACACGGGTTCAACTTCCATTATTCGCCTCTTGCATCTGAACTCTGGCGAGCCTAAATCCAGCCAAAGCTGGCATCAAGACCGTTATTCATTGACTGAAGTCCATGAATCTAAGTTAATTGATTCAAACAACCACATAAAGAGCGAGTTGGGTACAACATATAAACGAAAAATTGCTGAGCACCTCCTATGCCATCGCATCTCTCCTCTCACCTCATCTAATCTATCTGCATCCCCCCATTCCATCCATCCATCTATCCACCCATCCACCCATCCGTCCTTTCGGTCGGTCATCCATCCGTCAATCTGTGCACCCATCCATCCATCCATCCAACCATCTGTCCGCCTGTCCATAAGTCCATCAACCACTTATCACACCCAGTCAACGCTCACATGCATAGGAGGTGCTCAGCAATTTTTTCAGATAAGTCCGTCAACCACATTGAATGGCGTTGATTCAACTTGATTGATCAACCGCCTGTCCATAAGTCCGTCAACCACTTATCACACCCAGTCCCCCACATTCGCTCAATCGACAGTTGGTTGATTAATCAAGTTGAAATTGTTGAATCAACGCACAATTCAATTACTTCACCAACCAACCAATCACATGTGCAGCAGATTCAGAAAAAAAAGTTCAAAAAACATAAATTGAGAAAAAGGAGTCCAGCAGAGATCTAACAAGTCTACCTCTATCTTGTCGACCCCCCCCCCCGCGCCCCACCCTCTTCCTATCCCACCAAAATCATCCCCCCTCCTGTTTAGATTGAAAACAAAGAAACACAGAACATCCACCACGAATTGAGCTCCCCACGACCCATATACACAGATGACAAATTCAGAAAAAAGCTATCCTTACAATCCGCAGGCAATTCCACCAGTACATCCAAGCCTCTTTTTGCCGCGCGGCGGATTCCTCTGCACACCAAGCATTGCCGAAACGCCAGCGCGGCGTTTTGTTTTTCTTTCGGCTGGTGCCGCCAGCCAGCCATTTTGGCCCGGTAGTTCCGTTCATCCAATTGAAACTACTTTTCGGGATGACTCGTTTTCGATTCTCTAAGTTTGCCGGGGCGGTGTACTTTGCGGTTTAAGGGGGCAATCACTTACTGTAGTCCTCGGCATGAAGCGACCATGACAGCTTGAGCCTCTCCGCATCCGTGCTCTGAAGGCCATCTCCAGCTTCCGGTTGTACCCATCATACAGACCCCATTGTGACAGGATTTCCTGCCTGGTGCTCGTCACGACAAGTTCTGCAGAATCGAGGCAGAACTCTTCTGCCTCTATCCGGCGCGATATGTTGTAGTTTGCATTGATCTGTTCCTTTGTCATCCGTCCCTGCTTCACTAACTGCTCGAGCTTGTTCCGACCCAGCGAATGTCCTGTCATTACCATCGGCACGTTCAGTGCGCCAGACAAGAGCGCCGCACAATCCCCAGCGTCCGCGTAATGGCCATGGATGACGTAAGGCCACACCAACTCGCCGCCGCCAACCTGGTCGGCAAGCACATGCACCATATGGGTGATATGAGCCAACGCTCCATCAACGAACTCCTGAACATACGGCCACAGAAGTTCCTTGCGGATGTACTGATCACGAGGCCCGCATGGGATTCTGACGATGTACGCACCACTGCTCTCTCCCAAACCCCCATCAGGATCATACGTGGCTGCTGTGAGCATTTCCACAGGTTGGCTGTATGTCCAATGAACTTCCGGTGAACAGACCTGCCGAGTTAAGAGGTCCACACGGTAAACTTGTGGCATGGACGCTAAAGCACGAGCAAACTCCACGACGTACTTCACCTGCCCGACAAACAAAGGGAAATGACGGCCAAGGATCATGGGCAAATCATACCACGGTGTCAGTCTTTCGTTTTCTTTTTTGCTGTAGAGGGGGTAACAGGGGGGTCTTTAAAAAAAAAATAAAAAAAAATATTTTTTGCTGCGAGGCTGGTCGAGTGTTGTTCCTTACATAACTAACTCAGCTGTGATCTGCTCCACTCTGATATGACTGACAGGCTTGAAGTGTGGCATGCACCGATCCCACACGGGAGCTGCAGACCCAGAAATTGGGGCCAGTTCTGGGCCCTGGGGCACACAGACTACACTTTGGGTACTTCTTGGGCCCATGGCCACCTTTTCGGCCTCCTAGAGGCCCAGGTAGTTTTTCTTTGTTTTTTTTTCCCTTTTCTCTCTTTCTCTTTTTTTCTTCAACGGCTACGGCCTTGAGATATCATAATTGAACTGAGCGACCCTGGTAGGTAATTCAGAATTATTGTAGTACTCCACTCGTCTGCATCCTGCGGAGTTCGAACTCAGGTCTGTATAACTTCAACAGTTCAGTTCAGGTGTGTACCAACTGAGCTAGGCCAGTTGGTGCAAGGCCCAGGTAGGTTGTACTGGGTGTGCGATGGACTCTTACTGTGCTCATTCTCTACAAAGAGAGCCTTTCCTGTCTCTTTGAAAGCATGTGCAACAACTGGCATTCCTCACCATCTTCCCCCGAACATAGCGCACCCTGAAAATGAACGTATAAAAGGTTATGTTCCCGGCCCGATACAGTCAAAAAGAGGGTGGGCTGTGTTCGGGGAAGACGGTCGTCACAGGTTGGACCACACAGGAGCGTTTCTAGGTCACACAACTTCAAGAGAATCAGGAAAGCCAGGAGATGCAGAAGACACTCAGCCAAGGCCCTTCGTTGGAAATGACAGAAGCAACAGT